AATAAGAAACTCTGTGACAAGGAAGTGCTACAGATTCAGTCCACTCGAATCATGCCATCTTTAAGATGATTATTATCATCTTATCTGCCTTTCTAGACTAAACAGCAAACAAGCAAGGCTTTTTATGCATCTGATGTCAGCAAAGATGTTAACATGAATGGCTAAACCTGCATTAGCAATCAAAGCATTATCTTAAACTGGATATGGGTGGCAGCAGGTATCATTTCCATTGGGTTTAAAAGTCAACCGGTCTATTCATTATGATAAACTGAGAGTCATTTCATTCAGTCTGATATTGGCCTTCCTGGCTCTCCGGTTCCTTTTGCTCAAGATAAAAGCAATGGGAAACTCATTAGTGAGAACGGCCCAGCAGGAAAACTCCTTTGTGCTGTCTGGATCTATAAGTTTGTTATGTATAAAATGTGTGAGTGTAAGTGAGCGATATTCAAGAGGCTTGGGAATTGTGGATTAAGTGAAGCCCATGTTGTCTAAACAGTTGTTTTTTTTAAATTTACTATATATATATATATATATATATATATATATATATATATATATAAAGAGAGAGAGAGAGAGAGAGAGAGAGAGAGAATTATTTACTATTAATTTTATTAACCAACGTTATGTGACTAAAAGAAATTTGTCTTTAATATATATATATATATATATATATATATATATATATATATATATATATATATATATATATATATATATATTTATCATTATTGACCTAGTTTGCGTTACGTATGTGCACAGAATGAGAATTTTAAAAAATCTGTACATGTAGGCAAGTACATAGAATAAGCATGGACAGAGATGATGTGTCCCCACTTTAATTATTTATTATTTTTTTCTGATTATTTAATCCCTAATAATTAAATATATATATATATATATATAAACCTCTGTTTTTTTTTTTTATTGACCAATTTTATCAATTTTATTGACCTCTGTCAATAATCATCAATGTTTTCTACTTGATTCCTGCTGTTCTTCTTTTGTGTTTTCCAATAGAAAAAAAAAAACTTACCAAGGACTGAAACATTAAAAAGGGTGAGTACAATCATTCCACCAACTGATTTGTTTTAGGAAGTCTTAAATTTCATAAAAACTAACTTTAATAAAAATCTCTTTGGCTTTGAAGACTTTATGGGTTTTACAATGTAACAAGCCATTACTTGACCCTCAGTATAACGGATGGCTTTTTAGTGACAAAAACAAAGTTTTTGACTTTCCATAAAGTGTTTCAGTCTCTTGTAAACAAGACTTTTAAGGTACACTTTAAAGTTTTTATTTTGTTGATTAGTTGACTTTACTTAACAAAAAAGAGTAGACCCATTGCTTTTAAAGTGATTAGTTGACTTTGCTTACATGTAATAAAAGCGAGTAGACCCATTGCTTTTAAAGTAATTAAGTGACTTAATGAAAGTGAGTAAACCCATTGCTTTTAAAGTGATAAGTTGATTTTACTTAAAAAAAGGGAGTAGACCCATTGCTTTTAAAGCTGTTAGTTGACTCCACTAAATAAAATTAAGCAGATCCATTGCTTTTAAAGTGATTAGTTGAATCCACTTAATGAAAGTGAGCAGATCCATTGCTTTTAAAGTGATTAGTTGACTTTACTTACTTAAAGTGAGTAGACCCATTGCTTTTAAAGGGATTAGTTGACTTTACTTATTAAAGTGAGTAGACCCATTGCTTTTAAAGGGATTAGTTGACTTTACTTATTAAAGTGAGTAGACCAATTGCTTTTAAAGGGATTAGTTGACTTTACTTATTAAAGTGAGTAGACCAATTGCTTTTAAAGGGATTAGTTGACTTTACTCACATGTAATAAAAGGGAGTAAACCCATTGCTTTTAAACTGATTAGTTACTTGACTTAATGAAAGTGAGTAAATCTAGTGCTTTTAAATATATTAATTGAATTTACTTAAAGGTGAGAAACTCATTGCTTTTAAAGGTCTTTACCATGAAGAACTTCATAAAGAGTAACCTAAATATACTCAAAGTCACTGGAAGAATGGATTAACGTGATCAAACTTAGAGTATTATTCAGGGATCACTGAAATTTTTTTTTTTTTTTTTTTTTTTGAATTGTCCGTTCAGTCTCCAGTTTTAAGACTTTTACATTTGAAAAACTCAAACTGAATATACAAAAACTAGTCGTCTGAAAGTTTTTTCAAGCAATAAATAGGTGAAGACACTAGTAAAGAGGCGACACCAGCTTGTAAGTTATTAGATGCACATTTTATTTAATGTTATAAAGAATAAAATATATTTCTACACAATTTAACTACTGAGGATTTAATACTTTTGCACAATAATATTTATAGAATATCTTCATTTATTCAATCCTTTTCTTTTCGGCTTAGTTGCTTTATTAATATGAGGTCACCACGGTGGAATGAACCGCTGAGTTATCCAGCTTATGTTTTACACAGCGGATGCACTTCTAGTTGCAACCCATCACTGGGAAACATTCATACACACTAATTCACACACATCCAATAACTGACAATTTAGCCTACCCAATTCACCTATACCGCATGTCTTTGGACTTGTGGGGGAAACTGGAGCACCCGGAGAAAATCCACGCCAACACAGGGAAAACATGTAAACTCCACACAGAAATGCCAACTGACCCAGCTGGGGCTCAGCGACCTTCTTGCTGTGAGGCAAACATGCTACCCACTGTGCCACTGTGTAGCCCTATGGAATATATTGTGCCCTCCAAATTGCACACATTTTTATTGATCAGTGTTTTATAACAGTTTACTGATGCTTTCATATAACTATTTGCATAAAAGGTCTTGCAAATCAAGGGGGTGAATAATTGTTGAGACAATCTGATGGTTTTACACATTTATATGTATAAACTTTTTATAATAGCTCACTGATACTTTTTACTGAACAGTTTTTATAGCATTTTACTGCAGCAGAATGTCTTGCAGATCAAGGGGGTGGACAATTTTGCACATAAACGCTAATCAGTTGTACTGTATGTCCTCAAAATCACACAATTTTACATGTATAATTTATTAGAATAGATTACTGATGCTTTCGTTGAACTATTTTCCTAGGATTTTGTTCACAGTAGCAAAATGTCTTTCAGATCAATGGGGTTGAATTATTTCTTTTGCAAAAAAAACTTGCCCACTAACACATGTCGGGGGCACCTATGGTGTCATTTGGCAGAGTTGCTGGGCAACCACCTCAGATTTCCCAGAAAAACATGTGCGTATAGTCTATTGTGGGTCAGCAAAAAGAAACCCAATGGACTCTGGCCGAGCATATCTTAAGTTTCTTGTTTTCCTTCGCTCTGTTTACTGCTGCTCCAGTTCTGACCTTGTTCAAAGAGAACATTTAAATATGATGACCTAGTCAAAAAGAAACCCGCCTGCCATTCCATGGTAGTTAATTTATGCACAGAATTGGCATACAAGAGAGAAGAGAGTTTGGGGTGGAAACGCATCCAAGTCAAAACAGCCTGTGAAAAGGCTTTTAGAACAACGGATTTGTCACACTGCATGCTTTCACCAGGTTTGGTCTTGACATTTACTTCACGGTAAAGGTCTGAACAATCACAGATTGCAGTGTTTCATGGAGCTTGCATGGATAAGAAAGAGGAAAAAAGCAGATGTGCAATTAAGAAAAATATTATCAGAAATTATGTGTATATAACATTATTATTATTATTATTATTATTATTAGTAGTAGTAGTAGTAGTAGTATTAAAATAATAATAATAATAATAATAATAATAATAATAATAATAATAATAATAATAATTAAAAAAATAAAAATAAAATAATAAATAATACAATATTTATAAAATAATTACAAGAAATAAAAAAATTAAATAATAATAATAATAAAGAAGTATGATGATAATAATACATAATAATTATAATAATATAATACTAAAATGATAATAAAAGAAAAAAGAAAAAGAAAAAAGAAATAACAATAATAATAATTCATAATAATAATAAAATGATAAAAAATAAAATAATAATAATATTAATAAAATAATAATAAAATAATAAAATTAATAGTAAAATAATAATAATAATAAGATAATAATAATAATAATAATAATAATAATAATAATAATAATAATAATAATACATGATAATGATAAATAATAAAATAATAATGATAATAATAATAATAATAATAATAATAATACATAATAATATTAAATAATAATAAAATAATAATAATGAGAATAACAATAATGTCATATATATAAATGTTATACATAAACAGATTATTAATTTTTTTTATTAAATATTTTATTCAATGAAAAATATCATTTTGTGGTTAATAATGCAATATTTTTGTTACATATTAAAAACTAAAAGACATTTTTTTCATTTAATAAATTATTAAATATTTAGTCTAACAGGAAAATCATATAGTCATAAATCATATCATAATATATCATATCCCATAAATCATCTAGGACAGACAGCACAAACATCAGCCACAAAATAACATAAGTTATTTTAAAACTTCATGTAAATAAAAATGAGTTTGTTGTATGTCAAAATGTTGCCAACTTTAACTACAACTAAGACACATTCCATGACAATGACAGTTATAAATACAAGTATAATTGTATCAATAAATGAAAATAGGTCTGAATACACTGTAAAGACGTTCGTAACTCATATACTCTATTAGACTCAAGTAGCAAGAGTAGTATAATGCACCAGAAAAAAAGAGAGATACATTGTTTTGACATTGAACAAATTTTCCAGACTCATTAAATGTCCAGCGCCTATGTGATAACGATGGCAAATTTGGCCAGGCCGATAAGGACTTTGTCAGGCACTAATAGCCAAAGGCAGCGTACAAAGCCTAAATATCTTTTGTGGGACAAAATTCAGTGTCCCAAAAGGACAGACTGCGGGAGGAGAATAATAGTAAGCGTTGGGTGTTCGGCAGCGTAATAAAAAAGCCGGCTTACAAACCCTGGAAACATAAACCTTACCGTAGAGTTCTAAATCAGCTTCCCAGTCATCGACAGGTCTAGAAGGAAGAGGAAAGCTGTAAGCGCTCCTATCGGAGGTCAGCGGAAGAGGGATTTTGGGATTGCATTTCCTCATCAGCTGGATGGCAGGCTCCACCAGAGACTCCAGGCCTTTCATGGTCAGGCAGGTCTTCAGATGAAATGGAATCAGTAAGAATTACTTGCATGACACCACTCTTGAAGTGGTTATTCAAGAAATCAGTTCATGGTCAGAATTAGCCCTCACTTCTCCAATTGTACTCCAGTATAGTCATCCCCTAAATTGGACTCATTGACCCAGAGACAATATAATACAATCAAGGTGTAGGTATATCATCTTTATTAATCTAGCTACTCATCAACTTTAATGATCCACATAAGCACATTATTGTTAATTAAAATGTTTGTTTGTTTATTTATTTGCTTATTTATTTGTCTATTCTTTTACTTATTCATTTATTTTATTTATTTATTTGTTCATTTTTTTAATAACTTATTTATTTCCTTATTTTATTAACTTTGCTGTTTTTCCCCCAATTATTTTTGTCTGTTCACTTATTCATCTGTTATTTATTTATTTATTTATTTATTTATTTATTTATTTATTTATTTATTTATTTATTTATTTATTTGTTTATTTGTTTGTTTATTTATTTACATATTAATTAATTTGTAATTTTTTTATTTATTAACTTGTTTATTTACCTATTTTATTTACTTTGCTGTTTTTCCCCAATTACTTTTGTCTGTTCACTCATTCATCTGTTGTTTTTTTATTTACTTATTTATTTTGTATATTTTTTTAAATTTTTTATTTACTTATTCATTTATTTAATTATTTCATTTACATTGCTGCCCCCCCCCCCCCCCCGAATTTAGTCTGTTCACTCATTCATCTGTTTTAATTAATTAATTAATCAATTTATTTATTCATTCATTCATTTATTCAGTCATTCAATTATTCATGTATTTATTGGTAGTTTGTTTGTTTATTAACTCAATTCATTTACTTTGTTATTTTTTGACCCACTTATTTTTTTCTGTTCACTCATTTATCTGTTATTTATTTATATTATTTTTTTTGTGCTGTTGTTTATTCATTTATTTATATATTTACTTACCTATATTATTAACTTTGCTGTTACCCCCCCACCCCTCCTCTTATTTTTGTCCATACATTTAGACCAACTGGTAATGACAGGGGAGGTTTACTTGGCAAATGCCGATAAAAATCACAGTGTGTTTCAAAGGGAAATGATTAAAGCATTAGGAAAGGGGACAATTAAAGGTAGATACAAAGTCCCAAAAACATCATGGTACGAGATGCTGAATTATCACCTGAGTGGTTTGGAAGAGAAGACTTATGCCATCTACAGCCACTATAGCGTCTCTGCCCACAGATGAGCTGGCGGCAAGGTGAAGGCAATAAAGTAGGGCTCTACGGATAGGAACGTTCTTGAGGTTGGTGTCATTGTTGTGCCAGTCTTCGTACAGCTTCAGAAGATCTGCGATGTAGCCTTTCGCCACAGCGGTCCGACAGTTCATCTCTGGAGAAGGATGACAGTGTTATTAGCCTGGTTGACGTTAGAAATGTATGCAAAATTCTATTTATTTTCAAAATGTGAATAAAAACATTAACAAATTTATGCAGTTTATGTTAATCAGTGTTATGTGACTAAAAATAAATTTTCGTTGCAAAAAAATATTCGTTTTTCTTTATCATTGACCTGTTTTCCATTGTAGACTTTTGCAATATCTTCAAAATGTCGATCAAAAAAAGTATGGCAAAATTACAGTATGTCCATTCATCCAATCAATGTAATGCGACAAACTACATTTTAGGCACAAAAAGTACATTCAGTTTTTTTTTTGTTTTTTTTTAATTAGAAGCCTGGTTTTCTTTAAAGCACACAATAAATTAAAACTAAACATATTAATTTGATTAGCTCACATTGTTAGTTAGTAATGTGTGTTTTGAATGGATGTAACAATATTGTAAATACCGTCCTAACGCAATAGTAATTTTCTTCAATATTACCGTAGGCGCATGACTCATTAAAACTATATTTCTGAGAAAAGTTTGCTTAGGCGGATGAAGCGAACGGGAGGTAGCGGGAATTGCCATCAGCCTAGGCGTGGCCATCATCCTTTGCGGTCTGTTGTCACTACAGATCCATTAATGCGGAAATGGAGTGTGTTGCTAGTAGCGTGGAAGAAAAAGAGCTGAAAATGATCGAACCTAAAGCGGGTTTTAAAATTGGATGTGTGGAAGCATTTCGGTTTCTTTCTAAAAAGATACGAAAAAGGAGAAAAGGTGACAGACAAAGAAAAAAAACAGTATGCAGGCACTGCCAGGCTGTGGTGAAATATAAGTCAGGGAATAAGACTAAAAACACTCATGGGGACTGCAGAACACAGATTATTATTATTATTATTACTTGTTAGATTGATGCAGACATTGACTTGTACCACAAAGAGACCTCTATCTCACTCATGGCTTGTCCTCTCAAGTGGTGGAAAGACAATGCACAACGTTACCCACTGCTGTCAACCTTGGCTAAATCATATCTCTCTGTCCCAGAAACCTCAGTCCTAAATGAGAGTTTTTTTTTTTCTTTTGCAGGGGACATGCCCAGAGATCCCAGCTTTTACCAGATTATAATTATATGATAATTTTCCTTAAAAAATCCATCTCTGTAAGTGAGTGATTAAATGGTGAATGTGATGAGTTTTCAACAATACTAAATTGAAACTTTTTTTTTTATATGGTTTAATAGTTTTTGTTATTAAAATTTAAAAATTTAAGTTCCTGTTTCGAAACTTACAGATAGAAGGCTAATTTGTATGTCATTGATATGCTCAGTGCTAAGGTAAATAAACACTTTTGGCACTTTTTTCGAGTCTTTTCATTAGTTTTGTTTTCCTGTAAATTATTCAATAAATACCGTACCGTGCCATTCATACCGAGGTATTATCGTACCGTGAAATGCTGATACCATTACATCCCTAGTGTTTTGTGTTTAACAATTCATCTGTGCATGTCATTAAGTAAAAATATAACTTGCCTTTGTAATCTAAAATTGAATAAAGGGACTAAGCTGAAAAGAAAATGAATGAATGAATATGATCATTAGTCATTTAAATAATTATCAATATATCATTTTTTTATTATTTGATTATTATTGATTATTATTAGTCATTTTATTAAGTTTTTTATATATTTATTATTATTATTATTATTATTACTATAATTATTGCCTAGCTAATATTTCAATTTTTCCATATTATTGTAATCTTATGGCTGTGGATTCAAGTGATACTTGTTTTGATGAGTAATAGATAAGCGAATGTATCCATTTTAGAGTCTGTATTGTCACTGTACAATGTTGTGAAGCAGTAATTTTCAATTGCTGTTGCTTGTGGTATTATAACATGTTGGACTTTTTCTGGTCAGACAAAGTCTGAGCATTCAATCATACACATCTAAGATTTTTCAATAAACTGCTTTTTGTTTATCATCATGACTTCATCTCCTGCTTCTGCTCCTCTCTGGCTTTCTCGGTCAACTACTATATTGATGGGAGATTGTTAATTCAGTTGAATACTGGTTAACAAGTTTGGGTATTGGAAACTCTGCTGACTTCCCTGGATCCCTGGATAAACTGACTTTTCCTGACAAGATCTGGCGTCCGGGGCTGGATTTTATTTATCTGGCATGGATGATGTGATCTAGCATTATTAATCTACTTACTATTACATATGTATGCAAAACTTTGCCTTTATGGAGTCAGTTCTGGTAAAGCTTGGAAGATCTTTGATTTAGCCTTTGCCACAGTGATCTGACAGTTAACCTCTTTACAAGAATGTTTTAATATTGTATTTTTAACTGTTTTATTACTGTTTTATGCATGTATTTCTTTAGTTTTATTCACTAGTCGAAAGGATAAAAGTATAAATGAAAACACTGCACATTGACATTAAGATTACTCTGGGTCTTGTGTACAAAACTTGATTAGCGTTGGCATGGGTTTCCCCCGGGTGCTCCGGTTTCCCTCATAGTCTAAAGCAGGGGTGCTCAATCCTGTTCCTGGAGATCTACCTTCCTGCAGATTTCAGTTGCTACCCATATAAAACACACCTGAACCAATTAATTAGGACTTGAACTCCACTTGATAATTACAGGCAGGTGTGTTTGATATGGGTAGCAACTGAAATCTGCAGCAAGGTAGATCTCCAGGAACAGGATTGAGCACCCCTGGTCTACAGACATGAGCTATAGGGGTTTGGATTAACTAAACTGGACAGTGTGTGTGTGTGAATGTGAGAGTGTATGGGTGTTTCCCAGTACTAGGTTGCGGCTGGAAGGAAATCCGCTGTGTAAAACATGCCAGAAAAGTTGGTGATTCATTCCGCTGTGGTGACCCAGGATAAACAAGAGACTAAGTCGAAGGAAAATGAATGAAAATCTGCCGTCCATTTAACAAAGAATGTCCATTTAAACACATGCCAGATTAGGGTTTTCATGAGCAGAAAGAGGCTTTTTGCTAGTTAGCATGTTAGAAACAGGCTAATATTTATGGGACACATCTGTGTGTATCATTCATATTCAAATTGACCTCTCTTTTTCGCTGGCTTTTTCCCTCATGTCACGCTCTGCTGTGCTGTTTATTAATAAAATGTAATAAGAACATACATCATTCGGGCACTAAAGAGCCATATCAACAGAACACAATAACACTGGGATGATGGAGAGGGAACAAAAAAGAAAAAGCATGTGACTCTGCCTGTCAGAGCGAAAAGATTTCTCAGTGTGGCACAAAAGGTTAAATGAGATCAAAAACAAGATGGCGGAGAAAGAGACACTCTGGGCGAGGACTTAATTTCCGTTCTTTAAGCCACTGACAGGTCTGGAGCCTGAGGTAAAGATCGGTTATTGTCCTTTGGTCCTCCGAAGAATATAGTGAGCAACTAGCAAGGGTCTTGTCGTATTAAACATTAGGCCAATGATGACTCAATTACGTGCGACACAATTACGAGGTCACACGCAATGTAGCTGGTATCAATAATGTCGCTGTGTAACATGCATCATATATCTTTGTTGAGGCTGTCGAATGCACGTTGCCGTTATGAAATATGAGTTTGTCCTTCATCTTTTATGAAGAAAAACAATGCACAATGATAATTGCATGGCATAAAAAAAATACAATTAAAAGCTTGGCTGTATATTAGGACTACACAAAAACGCAGTCAATGGTGAAAACTGTCAGCAGATAAACCATAAATAAACTGTTGAAATGAACTAAGTGTTTGACTTGTAGCACTGCACCGAACCTTGAGCCCATTTGGGACCAACTACTTTATGTTGATCTGCTTTGTGGTTTCGGAAATTCTCTAATAGCATTACTGGGAGACAAACAGCTCTTTAGAATGCGATTGGTAAAGTGGATATTGTTGTTCATGCGTACAAATTAAATAGGCCTGTTTTTTTTTTTTGTTTTTTTTGGAGCAGCGACTTCTGCAAATATTTTCTACAAGTCCACCTCTGGGACTTCACAAACGCTGAAAACAGCTGCACAGGAAGCAGTTCTAATTAAATGGACATTTGGTTTCATTCTAAACGGAAAGTGATTCATTCACAGCACGTCATTTCAATTCTAGATAATTTTTAGTTGCATTGTTGGAATCTGTCCCTGTCTGTTGTGTTTTATATCTGTATTTCTATTTATGGGGCGACGCGGTGACACAGTGGGTAGCAAAATCGCCTCACAGCAAGAAGGTTGGGCCTCGGCTGGGTCAGTTGGTGTTTCTGGGTGGAGTTTGCATGCTCTTCTCGTGTTCGTGTGGGTTTCCTCTGAGTGCTGCGGTTTCCCCCACAAGTCCAAAGACATGTGATATAGGTGAATTGGGTATGCTAAATTGTCCATAGTGTATGTGTGTGGACATTTTCCAGTGATGGGTTGCGGCTGGAAGGGCACCCGCTGCGTAAAACGTGCTGGATAAGTTGGCGGTTCATTCCGCTGTGGCGACACCGGATTAGCAAGAGACTAAGCCAAAAAAAAATGAATGAATGAATGAAAGAATGTATTCATGTATCCATCCATTGTTCTATCCATTCATTTATCACATCTATCTATCTATATATGTCTAGCCCTTTGGACTATCTACATATCCATCCACCTTCAGTGTCTATCGCTTTATCTGTGGATCTACCTATCATTATACTGTATCTATCTACTGTATGTACAGTGACCATCAATCCATTCATTCATCCTTCCATCCAGTGTCTGTCTATCTCTCTGTCTGCTCATTCATCGAGGGTCTTTCTATCCCTCTGTCTGTCCATCCATCCATGCATCCATCAATTTTTCTATTTTTCCATCCACCAATCTATCTCTTCATTTCTACACCTATCCATCTTTCTATCTGTATATCCATGGTGTCTATAGATCCATCCGTCCCTCTAGCAATCCATCCATCCATCCCTCTGTCAGTCCATACATCCATCCATCCAGTGTCTGTCTATCTCTCTGTCAGTCCAACCATCGATCCATCCATCTATCCAGTGTCTGTCTATCTTTGTGTCTGACCATCCATGTGTCTGTCTATCTATCTGTCTGTCCGTCCGGCCGTCTGACCATCCATCCATCCAGTGTCTGTCTATATCTGTCTGTCCATCCATCCATCCTTCAATAGTTCTATTTCTCCAACTGCCTATCTAACTCTTCATTTCTACACCTATCAATCTCTCTATCCATCCATCCGACCATTCATCCATCCATCCATCCATCATCCACCCATAGCTCTATTTCTCCATCTACCTATCTATCTCTTCCTTTTGACACTGGCCCATATCTCTACCTCTTTTCATGGTGTCCATCCATCCATCCATCCATCCATCGCTCTATTGCTCCATCTACCTATCTATCTCTTCCTTTTGACGCAGATCAATATCTCCATATTTATCCTGGGTGTCCATCTATTCTTCCATCCATCCATCCATTCATCCATCCATCCATCCATCATCCACCCATAGCTCTATTTCTCCATCTACCTATCTATCTCTTCCTTTTGACGCTGGCCCCTATCTCTACCTCTATTCATGGTGTCCATCCATCCATCCATCCATCCATCGCTCTATTTCTCCATCTGCCTATCTATCTCTTCCTTTTGACGCTGATCCATATCTCTACCTCTATTCATGGTGTCCATCCATCCATCCATCCATCCATCCAGTGTTTTTCTATCTCTCTCTCCGTCTCTCCACACATCCATCCAACAATCCACCCATCCGGTGTCTGTCTGTCTACAGTCTCTTTCCATCTCTCAGTTTTGTTTCAGATTCACTGATCTCCTTGCGGCGCTGAACTAACATCACTAAATCAATGTGTGAAAGCCTGCCCCACTAAACTGTCAAAAGAATTTCCACTTTCTTTGTTTTAAGAGAAATCCTCCAAGCTCTGAATTCAACCGGTTTGGCCCATAAATCTCTCTCACCGAAGACGCTCCGAGAAGGGCAGGGGGTTCCGTATGAGGGAGTTCGCTGGACTCTAAACCCAAAGTCTCCTTGCCTCTGATGAAGGGGTTGGAAAGCAGCCAATCGCGCTGTGCGCTCAGTGCAACTAATGGAGGCCGTGGCGGAGAGTGGTGGGAGCGTTTGCGAAATGAAGGTCATCGGTATTTACTTCCACCACGAGCGCAAAACACTCACTGATGGAATTACAAAAGGAAATAAGGGGAAAAGAACAACCCATTCGTGTCGTTCCGGGTCGTTCCGCAGCCTTGGGAATCATATTTTAGAACTGAAAGCTGAGAGGTGTGTGTTGTGAACCTACTTTCTTGGCTTTGCATCTCTCCCGAACTCCCAGTATGAGAGTCATGAACTTAAGAACACTGCAGCTCTATGACTTGCACAAATACAGCAATCTAAAATATTAATGCATGTGATGCTTTCTATCAGGCTTGGACTTCTAGAAGAATTTCTTGGTGCTCTTAATGTAGCCTGAGGTTTTCCAGAAGTTTAAAGCGAGGTCTGTGTGTGAATACAGTGGAATATGGAAATGCCTCGACTCGGGAGATTCTCGGTCTGTTACATATTCCTGATCTGATGCACAGAAAAACATGACAATACTTCTGTAAAGCCTGCTGGAGGAAATATGGCCACGTTAGATGATTATCAAGTGCTCGCCACGTCCTCCGGAGAAATAAGCGGCGCACAGACAAAAGGCGCAGACAACTTAGCTTTGCCCGATGGAGGAGAATTAATTGCGGCATCACTGGCCAGACGTGTTTCTTTTAGAGGAGGCTCCTAAAAGCCCCACAGAGCATTACGTTATTCAGAGTCTCGCTGACTGCAGAGCTTCAACAGGTGCTGTATTTTCAAAGGCAAAGCGCAGGATGACACTCACAGAGTCACAGTGACCCCTGGAGGACGATGGAGGAACTGCTGTAAGTGTGTGCTTGGAGCATATGTGTTTAGAAGGATAAATGACTGCATGTTTTCTGCACTTCCTTTGTTGGTTTTTACAGACAAAAAGAACTTGACTTTGCTTTGTGTTGGGTTGAGTGCGTGATTTATGATGGAGAGGGTGCTTGTTTTACAATGACAACAAAGTGTTAACAGACTGCTAGAGACAGATTTTTGAGGGGGAAACTAGATATTAATTTAACTAATTATTAATTATACTGTCAGTGTTTTTTAAATAGAATATAAAATTATGACTTGTTTTAGACCATTTTGAGGGATGCAAACAATAACAATGGTCCTGACGTTTTTCCTGTTTTACACTTTTAATTTCCATAGCTCCCAAGAATCCTAAAAAAATAAACAATGTTATGACAGCTGTTTTAACATTGAGATATGATTGAATTGGCTCCTGTTACAGTTACTAGAATAGTTTGACAACATGCAGGAAATGTTCATGGGCCAATAAAATCACCACATTGAACTTTTTCTATAAATTAATATTAAATTTCTAATTAAATTATAAGTAATTTCATAAAACAAGAGACCACTTATAAATTATCTGGATTTATGAACAAAGATTTATGGTTTTAAATGAGACAAGTAATTTATTATGTCAAATTTCAGAAAATTACAAAACAAAAGGGTCAACTAAAGATTTACTTAAACCCAAAACCCAGAGAAGCTGAGAATAAATGAATATATAAATGAATATATAAATGAATATATATATATATATATATATATATATATATATATATATATATATATATATATATATATATATATATATATATATATATATATATGAGAACGAATAAAGAATGAATAGATAAAGAAATAATTAAATAAATAAACAGAAGAATGAATAAAAAAAAATAAAATACAATAATTTATGAATAAATAAATTTTAAAAATAAATGATGTAATAAATAAATAAAATAATTAATGAATAAATAAATAAATAAATAAATGAGTAAGTAGGAAAATAAATAAATTAATAAAAGAACGAAAATAAATAAGTAAATGAATTAATTAATAAATAATTAAATAAACAGAAGAATGAATGAATGAATAAATAAAATAATGAATTAACAAATTTTTAAATAAATAAATGTTAACATATAGGATATATCCAATAAATCCAGAGAAACTGAAAATAAATAAACAAACAAACAAATCAAAATGAATGAATAAATAAATAAATAAATAAATAAATAAATATTAACATACAGGATATATAGACAGGACGGATGTGATTTTACCAAGTAGGATGTGATTCTGGATTAACATCTATGTTGATCCTGGAATGTCATTTTTGTTATGTAATCCATACCCAATCCCTACTCCAAAACCCAACCATAACTGTAAATTATTCCCAAAATAAGAGGGGAGAAATTATTGGATAAAAATCATTTAGAAGTACATAGCCTAAACCCAATATAAACTGTAAATTTGTCCCATAATTCTGATTGGTTGACTGGAATGTTGTTCCAGGATCAACACAGATATCCTGGATCATGTCCTACTTGGTGAAATCCCACTAATCATACAGACAGACAGATATGATGATCATGCTTCATTTTCACAAAATTTAAAGCAACAAAAAAACTCACTTGAGCATAACATTGCAGTGAAGGCGTCAGCAGCTGCCCTATGAAACAACAGAAAACACATCTGACATAAAAAAAATGTATATGAGGCATTTTATTTCTGCAGTTGCGTCATGCACGCACCCTTCTCTCCAAACACACATAAAGCTAAGTACAGCAGGCACGTTTCCAGATGCATTTAGCATTGGTGGAGAGAGAGGGAAAAAAAGATTCCTGTCATTGTGATCATGAGCATTTATTTTGCGGCGACAGGGCTGCTGATTCAGCACAGTCTGCATATTCTTCAATACACATGGGGGGAAATGTAGTATAATTATGAATGGCTTTGCAACAGTCAGCCAATAAATATCGCCACCGGCCTGTCGCTTGATACAATCCAATGTCTTGAAAAATGGGGAGAGAGTAAGATATGATGAGCTTCTTAAATGGAGATCTTTGGTAAAGAAAATAATATATTTTCTGGACAATATATATTTGAAATATATGCTAAATATATTTTTTAACTGTGAGGCTCAATAAAATATTTTTTAATTAATAATACACCAAGCATATTTCTCAAAATGTGTTTTCTCAAAAGAAAATACATTTCCAACCTTATGATATTTTCTCTCCTTGTTTTAGACATTGCAATCAAAACCACTTTTCCTTTTTTACATTTAAAAATGTTTTCTTTTAAACAATTATATATATATATATATATATATATATATATATATATATATATATATATATATATATGAGCAATATCACACTCGTAGCAGTGTGATATTGCATTTATACAACAGTTCGACGAAACAATTTAGTACATAAAAAAGAAAATCAAACACAGAGAATGTAAAACCCTTTTGTATTAGGAACTACTTTCTTCCACCATTTATTCACATCTGCAGCTGACGTCAGAACAGCAGAAGCCGTTATTAATTCACCAACGTCACTTTAGAGCTAGTATTTGAATGATTCTCTATAGTGTAATGTGAAGCGGCGCTTCTGGTGTTTGACCCCCTTAAGGTGATGACAAAACAGTAAATTTTGCTCACATTTTAAGATTATAAGGCTGAACGTGACATGAAATGCCATCCGTCTACAGAGATTTCTCACAAGACTGCTGTTGTGTTTGCGATAAGGAGGGACAAGGCTAAATCCAGCTTCTTATTCGCAGCTTCTTATTGACTCTATCCGGTTCACCTTAAAAACCATGAGGCTTCCGTTTTTCAGCTTTTTATTCCCGCTCAAGAGAACACACCGAGCAAAGGCTTATTATGCGGTTCTGGCACCATCTTGTGGATAAACAACGTCAACCGTCTATGGCCGCCGACGAGCTCTCATAAATTGTAAATATTTTAAGATAGGCACTATTCTTGCAAATAAACTGCATAGTTGCAATCCAAACAACTACATTCTCGACTAAAAAAGCCTCAAAAGTATATTTTTATGTGTAACAGCAATAATATTTGTCAAACTGTAGTGTCTGCTTGTTGCTGGTTGTATGTGGGCGAAGTACTACACAAAGGGTAAAGAGGCTGTACGGATGCTGATATTACTTAAATACATCACGGCTATCAGCCATTCAGATTCGAGATCCAGACAGAACTGTTGTGTATATATATATATATATATATATATATATATATATATATATATATATATAAACATGAGTAGCAGTGTGATATGGCTGTATATCGGTACTGGTGGGAGGCATGTGCTGGCACAAGGCCACAGGCCGAGTGCCTTAATGTCCCACCAGTGACGATATGGGTACAGCCGTACCGCACTGCTACAAGTGTGATATTGTGTGTATACAACAGTTTGACAGCATAATTGTGTGTATAAAAAAATTTCAAACACAGAGTCTAAAAATCCTTTTGTAAGAGGAACTACTTTCTTCTGCCATTCATTCACATCTGCAGCTGATGTAAGAACAGCAGAAACCGTTGCTACTTCACAAACGTCACAAATGTCTAAAGTGATGACAAAACACACATTGCTCACATTTTAAGATTATAAGGTTGACTGGCATAAAATGCCATCAGTCTGGAGAAATTTCCCACTATGTCTCTGTTGCAATCGGGAGATCACAATAATTAACCCCAAAAAGTCAAAGCAACGCAAACCCTACCAGATTTCTCTTATGTTTGAGATAAGGAAAAGCGCTAAACATATGCAGGCATTTCTTCTTTTTTGTTTTCCTGAACTATTCTGCAGTAACAAAAACAGGAGATGCATTAGAAACAAACAGATAGCCAACCAAAAAGGGACTCTGGGTTATATAGAGTGGTCAACACAAAATGCATACATTTCTGATATGCGAGTTCCATCTCATACTCAATACACTACAACTACTATGATTTAAATGTAGCACTACAACATACGAAAGAAAGAGATCGACTTAGAATGTCACTCACCAATTTTATAATGTTTTGATCAGCTGTAGTTAGAAAATACAACAACCTTTTCTTCTCTAAGGGCTTATTATGCAGTCTCTGTCGCCATCTTGTGGATGGACAAAGTCAACCGTCTTTGGTCTGCTCAGTATGACATGCTGATGGATGCTAACAGGCAGTATCTCCATAATTATAAACATTTAAAATAGGCATTATCCTTGTAAATAAACTACATATAGTTGCAATCTAAACAACTACATTCTCTATTTAAAAAGCCTCAAAAGTACATTATGTTGTCCAACAGCTACAATATTTGTAAAACTTTAGTGAGTTTATTGATCTGCCGTCACTCTATGTGGGCGGAGTAATACACAAGGGTGAGGAGGCTGTATATATATATATATATATATATATATATATATATATATATATATATATATATATATATATATATATATATATATATATATTCTTATTATTTTTCAAGACAAAACGGTGTTCTCCTTGTGCGAATCACATTTTATCACCATGGAAGAAATACTACCCTAACATACCTCTCATTTCACCTCATTAATCATTTCATTGTGCACCTCGGGTTCTTAGCTCCCTTTCCTTCAATGGGAAACGCTGTATATCTCAGTCCTTTGTGTGTGCAGCACATCAGGCTCCTTTGTGCCATCCGCGCAAACAACATTATCAAGCCAATTTCGACTCTCATCAAATCACAATTGGAATCATCTCTGCGAGTCTTTGATAGGGGTCACACTGTGGCGATGGACCACGTTATTGTCGCTGCTGGGATCGAGACGAGATACAAAGCAGATCAATGTCGACACCACATCTGTTCAAAACACATGCGCCGTGAACAACAGCACTGGGTCTATTATCTACATGGGGTATTTGCCGTTTAATGCTGCCCTTGTCACTCAGCTGTGCTATTCTTTGCAGTGTGTCATGTATTCGCAGACTAGAACAGTCTCTTCATTCACCGGAACATGCAAATCCCAAGGAAAAGCGGGAAATGCTTTGATTTGGCCAATTCTGATCTCATTCGGACTGAATTTGTGAATATGAATTGAGGCGTGCATGAAATTTGAATGTGTGAAAGCTGAAAGTGAAGACAAGCTTGGAATGTTGACTTCATAAGTCCTTGTTTGACAGACAGATGAAAGCAGACAGAACGTTGATGGCATTCGCTTTGTTTCTGTGCAAAGAGATTTACAGTATGCGCAAATCTGCGATATCACATAAAACCATTGCGAATAAAGCAGTTTTCATCCAGTGAGTTAGAGAACAAAATCACTTTCTGGTGAACTGCCACCAAATATCTAAATTTGAAGTCAGAATAATTAGCCTCCCTAAATTATTAGCCCCCCTATTTATTTTATTCCCCAATTTCTGTTTAATGGAGAGAAGATTTTTTGCAACACATTTCTAAACATAATAGTTTTAATAACTCATCTCTATTAACCCAATTCACCTGTACCGCATGTCTTTGGACTGTGGGGGAAACCAGAGCACCCGGGGGAAACCCACGCGAACGCAGGTAGAACAAGCAAACTCCACACAGAAACGCCAACTGAGCCGAGAATCAAACCAGCGACCTTCTTGCTGTGAGGCAACAGCACTACCTACTGCGCCACTGCTCCGCCACAACAAAATATACACTCAAAAAGTTACATTTTACTGTGCAGCCCAGTGCATTAGAAACCACAGGAGAGGGCAAATTCTTAAGCCTAAATATCAAAGTTCCTGAAAGCAAAGAAGATCAAGGTGCTCCAGGATTGGCCAGCCCAGTCACTAGACATAAACATTATTGAGCATATCTTGGGCAAGATGATGGAGACGACATTGGAGATGAATACAGAAAATCTTGATTAACTCTGGGAGTTCATGATTGCCATGATTATAAAGGTGTCATGGTGGTTGTAATAATAATAATAACAATAATAACAATAATAATAATAATAATAATTATTCCTTACATTTATAGCGTTTTTCTAGACACTCAAAGTGCGTTACACATTGGGGGAATCTCCTAACCCACCACAAGTGTCCAGCATCCACCTGAATGACGCGACGGCAGCCATATTGCGCCAGACCACACACCACACACCAGCTGATTGGTGGAGAGGATGAAGCCAATTAAGGTATGGGGATTGTTAGGAGGCCATGATAGACAGAGGCCAGTGGGCAGATTTGGCCAGGATGCCAGAGTTAAACCCCTACTCTTTGGGATTTTTAACGATCAAAGAGATTCAGGACCTCGGTTTAACGTCTCATCCGAAAGACGGCGGTCACTGAGCAGTATACAATCTCCCTTACTTTACTGGGGCATTAGGACCCACACAATCCACAGGTTGGGCGCCCCCTGCTGGTTTCATTAACACCACTTAAAACACACCTTAAAGTAAATTGTCACCCTACGTGTTTTACAACAGACAATATGTCAGATAGCTACTGTATATAGAAAGAACCAACTGAAAGTGATAAAACAAACAAAAGACCTAACCAAAAATAAACAAACAATAGACAGAATGACAGATAGATGCACTCAAAAAGTTTAGTTTGCTGTTTGTTCAAACTACTTATTTAAAATGAGCTGAAACTATTTTTGAGAGTTTTTTGGGGACAACTTAATTGTTTTATATTCAATCCAC